GTTAATCGGAATCTCATGAAAGTTAGGACTGCCAAGGCGTGAGAGCTGAGTATCTGTATATGAAAACAAACGGCCCTGTAATAATGGATCGTTAGAAAAATCAATACCTGGTACTAAATGTCCGGGATGAAAAGCAACCTGCTCTGTTTCTGCAAAAAAATTATCAGGATTTCTGTTCAAAGTCATTTTACCAATAATTTTTACAGGAATTAATTCTTCGGGAATTAATTTTGTGGGATCGAGTAGATCGAAATCAAATTTAAATTCATCTTTTTCATCCACTAATTGTACACCCAATTCCCATTCTGGAAAATTACCACTTTCAATAGCCTCCCATAAATCGCGACGGTGAAAATCAGGATCTTTACCAGAAATTTTTTGAGCTTCATCCCATGCTACTGAATGTACTCCAAGAACAGGCTTCCAATGAAACTTTACAAAAGTAGATTTACCTTGCTCGCTTATAAATCGAAAAGTATGTACACCAAAACCTTCCATCATGCGGTAACTTCTGGGAATAGCACGATCGCTCATGGTCCACATAATCATGTGCATAGATTCCGGCATCAATGAAATAAAATCCCAAAAAGTATCGTGAGCTGAAGCTGCCTGTGGCATTTCATGATCCTGCTCCGGTTTTACAGCATGCACAAGGATCAGGAAATTTCATAGCATCCTGGATAAAAAATACAGGCATGTTGTTTCCAACCAAATCGTAATTTCCTTCCTGTGTATAAAACTTAACAGAGAATCCACGAACATCTCTTGCAAGGTCCGTAGATCCGCGTGATCCAGCTACAGTAGAAAACCTCAAAAAGACCGGAGTTTTAATAGTTGTATCATTTAAAAATCCCGCCTTGGTATACTTGCCCATCTTTTCATAAAGCTCAAAATAACCGTGAGCAGCTGATCCACGCGCATGTACAATTCTTTCAGGAATACGTTCGTGATCAAAATGCGTAATTTTTTCGCGAAGAATGAAGTCTTCCAGTAAGGTTGAACCGCGTTCTCCAGACTTTAAAGAATTTTGATTGTCATTTATTCGCAGCCCCTGATTTGTCGTAAGAAACTGGTCTTCTCCACTTTCTTTAAACTGTTCAAGATTTTTAATTTTTTTATTGTCCGTAGTTTTCGAAACTTTTTTTGCCATGAGTGGATTTAGTTTTAGTGAAAAATGTGATTTGAAATTGTTCAACCTTTAGTTACCTCTAAATACATA